AAAAGAAAGGAAGGACAATCAAAATTAGATGAATACATACTAATCTACCGTGGCGTAGCAAAAGAAAACATGGCCAAAGAAGCTAAGCTTAACTTTACTAATACACCAAAGGTACCAAAATCACATCAAAGAGTGTCAATACATATCCAGAAAGGATTGTAACAGCAAAGATAATAATGGAGAAGGAAGACCTGAACATCATCGGAGTATATGGCCCAGAAAATAATAAGCCTCAAACAACAAAGAAAACGTTTTATGGACGACTTTGTGACAGATCTAAGATTCAGATCATAATTACAGGCGATTTCTGTCACAATTCCGATCCGTTAAAATGCCAAGGTTAGACTTGTATGCAAAATTAACATTGTCATAAAGTCACTCAAATGAGAGGGGTCAAATGGTGAGAAATATTTTTGTAAATTTCTGTCTGTATTTTTTTGGTAAATTTTTTCCAGTAAAATCCAGCTAAAAAGTTTCTTAAGTAATTTTGGATTACAATAATTCCATAAAAAATATCTTAAAATTGACAAAAACTGCCGAATTTGTCACAAAGTGATCTCATTTTACGGTACATCAGTTACAATCGTTATTATTAATAAAGCCGATGGTAGTTGCAGACAAAACTCAGGAAGAAATAACTCAAACAACGCATTATACGTCCGGAAATGACTGTATTATTACAAACTCCAAGTAATCTCGACTAAAAAAAGTATAAATTTAACATCTATTGACCAATATGACTAAAACTTTCTAAATAAAACATAATCTCAGTCAGTTAAATTAATCTAAATTAAGCTTTAGTTTTAAAATTTTCAGTAAAATGTAATATTTTGTTTAAAAGTAATTTTTATAGTCGAGACTTCATTTCGGAACTATCTTTAGGAAGTTTCTATTTTTTTAAGTCATTTGAAAGCGTTTATTCCAAATTAAGTTCCAGATTTGAAGATTTCTGTTTCTTGAATTAGAACTTCAAGTCTGGTGCAAGTTTAGGTAGGCTTTTTAATTAACTCATCGCTTATTTCTAGTCTATAGAAGTATTTTCAAGAAGATATTGACATAAAGTCTCACTTCAACTTCTTTCCTGCCGTGGTTCTGCCTGCAATAATTATCTGTATTGCTTTTGTTAGGCAACCTACATTACGCTATGGATCAGGAAAAATTGTACATCGTAAATTTAGTAGTAACAACTTTTAATGCGGATATACTAAATTCTATAACATATTTTACTAGTTTATATTTTTATTGACATGCATATCAGGATATTACCAAAGAATATGCGTGTGTGTAGATTATTCAACTGGGGTGATGTGGTGTGTCTTAAGTTTGATCACGTATTGAACCTTATCAAGCTAGTTTTACATATAAATGATCGTAATTTATGGAAATAATTATATGTTAAAGACACACTCAGAGTTTACTGTCATTCAAGAATGTTTTGCAAAATAATATAATCAGTTTAAAGCGCTAAAGACGAAAGATATGGAATTTTTATTAAAAAATATTGAAACGAATGGATTTTAAATATTAATTCCTAAGACTTATAACATATAAATATAAAAAAATCACACTTATTGTAATACAGTATTTGGTGTCGTCGAAAATTTCAAACTTTACGGAAGAACAACAATATTTTATTAATAATTTCAATCCACACTTAAGAAACCACTAAATTATTGCATTACAAAGTAAGGAGTGATGCAAATAGCGTTCTTAGTTGTATAGGGTGGTCCAGATTCAACAAATAATATAAAATTTTATATAAAAAACTAACAATAAAACGCATAATTTTGCTATATTCATAAACTGTCGTATACAAATATTACATAGCACATATGTAGGGTTCAGAATAGAAGTGAACCAAGTCATCTTTTTGTCATTTACGAGTTATCAGATTGTTATTTTCTGTCAGAATATGTATGGAAAACCAGCAATCACAACAAAAATAAGAGCCCATAGGCTAGATTGCTTGGTTACATTATACTAATGCCAGAGAATCGAAATGTTAAAACAATACTGAAGGAGGGAGAAATGGGGAAAAAGAGGAGCACGTCCAAAGAAGAAATGGTAGAAAGCAGTAACGCAAGACTTGTCAGAAATAGGCGTGAGAAATTGGAGAGAGAATGCAACGGACCGAAAAAATGGAGGGAAGTAACCAAGTTTTTAGAAGCCAGGGACTTACAAGGCATGTAGCGCTGCTATATGATTTATACAAAGAGAAATGTAAAAGTGAGAACAGAAATCGTGTGAAAGAAAAATATTACTACCAAATCTTCAGTCAAAACTTTAACTTGCACTTTAAGCCTGCTTCAAAGGACACTTGCACCAAATGTGACAAGTTATTTCAAGAAATCCCTGCTGAAACTGATGAGAAAAAGACAGCCGACTTAAACACAGAAAGAGAAGGCTAGCAGGCAGAACAAGCACGAGCAGAACTGGAAAAGATGCCACTGAATAGAATAGAATAGAATAGAATAGAATAGAATAGAAATATGCTTTATTGTCACTGAAAATTATTGAACAATTTTATGGACAAAGCTAAAAAATAAATCAGTCAAATAGTACAAAAAGTATAAAACAAAAACAAATATAGTAAAAAACAGAATAACACAACCTCGCACAATTAATGTTTCCACATTTGACCTTCAAAAGGCGTTGCCTTTTCCCAAACTGACAACTTCAATAGCCTACTATAGGAGAAATCTTTATATCTACAACTTTGGCATTCATTGTTTTAATAACAAAACTTCCTATATGCATATCTGGAATGGGACTAATGGTGGAAGGGGTTCAGTAGATCTAGTTTCATGCCTTAGGAAATATTTGTGTGAACATGCCAGGGCATTCAAACATGATGTTATGTTTTCTAACTCATGCACTGGGTAAAATCGAGATATAAAAACCAGCCTTACTCTGCTGATATTTGTTTACAAGTATCTAGTGGACGTAGAAACAATTTAATTAAAACTTATGATGCAGACCACTCATTCCTTCCCAATGATACTGAATTTGGTATAATAGAGAGAGCAGAACAGAAACATAGGACCATCAATATGCTTGATGACTGGTACAACGTCATTAAAACTGCAAAAGTAAAATAGCCTAAGTTGAAAGTTGTAAAACTACAACGAGAAGAGTTTTTGAGCACAAGATTTCTCGAAGATTTAATCACAAATAGAAAAAAGACACTGAAAATAGAAAAATCAATTGGTTTAAGATACTTTGGTTGAGGTTTAAAAAAGGAGCACCTCTCCAAATAAAAATAAATAAATCTTTCAGTAGAATTTCGAGTTTCCGAAACTTGGACATCTCGAAAAAGACAAGTAAAACATGGCTTAAAAGACCCGTGGAAGGGCAAACCTTGTTGACTGTGCAGCAAGATCAGCTCTACTCAACTAGAAGACAAAAAATTTCAAAAAAAGGAGGACATGTTGTCTCTGCTACCTTACATATCCCCTATTCATCATGGATACTTCAGAAACCTTCCAGGGAATCAGTCAATTCGTCAAACCTATGACAACGAAGCGACTGAATGATACCGACGGGGACGATTCGTTTTTTATGTTAATTAACTTTTCCTTTCACCTATAGTAGATGTAAAAATGTAAAAATAAAGTGTATTAACAACACTTGGAGTTGGTTTATTATCTTCCTAAAATTCTTCAGAATACATTTGAACCAAGTCGACTTTTTTGCATTTTTTGGGGTTATTACATCAAATTTGGCCAATAAAAGCAATGTAAATGTCTAAGTTACTCTTTGACTTATTATATTGAATACAGACTGTTAAAAATGTTAATGGGTAATTTTGTTACGAAGCTTTAAACCTCTGTAGCTTAAATGTAGATAAAGTGGACTTGGTTAATTTCTATTTTGAACCCTCTATATATTCATCAATTTAAGCAAAAAATGGCCGCATATAACTGTGATCCAAATAATAATATACAGCCTAATATAATGGCCCTTCGATGGGTCATTATGTATATTTATTTTACACTATTTGTGAAATCGGGACATAGTAAATACTTGTTTCAATTTGAAATATAAGAATCAACTTTGCGATTCATGTTCGACACACACAATACCTAAATAATAATCTAAAAAATACTACTAAAACAGGACTAAAATGTGTTGGATAAATGAAAAAGAGAACACCATAGGGGATACTTCGCAATCCACATTCTCTTATATTAGCCTCCAGATTTTATAGTCCAACAATAGTTATTTTGTATATACGAGGGAAACTTTAAAAATTCTCGGCCTTGAGTATTGAGGCTCTATTAAATGTTGTTTTTAGTGTTAATGCAGTTGCTGCTAAAGTTAATATCACATAAGAAGTTAATTAAATAAAAGTTATATCTGCAACTAGGTCAGACATTATAAAAGTTGATCCTGCAATTCAGAAATATTAGAAGCCCACCTGGAGGCTCGCTCGCTAATTGAGAGCAGTTAACTGAATAAATATTAAATATATTTAAAATGAATAAATGAAAACTAGAAAACTAATAAATATTTACAAGTAGATGCTAAAAGGTTACATATTCAGGGTTTCGTACTATTGCCAGCAACAGAGTCATCTAATCTCGACTCTTAAACATTTCAGCTGATAGGAAAGTGATATATTGATAGTTTCTGCTGTAAGAGGAACGTTTACATTCAAAAGCAGATACATTTTTTAAATTAAAACTAATATTTTTACTCTTAGGCCGAAAACTTTTTACTATAACCCTGTAGATACGTTGATGATTTAATATCGTGAGCCTGGACCATCCAGACAAAATTAAAAACCGAACAACAGTTACAATACACATCCCAGTAAATACACTGCTCGACAAAAACACCGACACTTATCTTTATCTATTTTAACGAAAATAATACTAAAAACATTTTTTAATAAACTTTAGAATATGCTTGAAGAAGTCAACATCAAAATCCAGGAATAAACATTTCAGGTTTAAAGTTATGTCTGAGTTTTTTTGTCCAGCAGGGCATTTTCAACCATATTAACTTTGTTCGCAGGCGATCATTTCCATATCTAACGTATCCACGTCTTCTTCTATATGACTGGTGGGCGTGGGGGTAGGCAGACGTTGTCCACCGACCATTGGATCCCTGGATGCAGGACCCGGGGAGACCAGCAAGGCTTCAGACTGGAGGGCGTGTGGTGATGAGAGCATTGGATCTCCATTCACCCCGTATACTAATTCGTCATCGTCGATTCCCTCTTCCATCGTGGTTAAGTTGAGTGAGGTTTCGGACAGAGTGTCAGATAGTACATCCGGCATCTATAAACAAAAAGCAAATCTTTGAATATATTAAAGAACTGAAACACACGCACTGTTTTTTTTTTCTAGATAAAAACGGCTTCTCGCATGAAAAAAAGAAATATTTTGTCGCAAACTAAATAAAGAATTTAAAACTTTGAAATATCTCAGTGGTGTAATAAGTACCTCTTAAAACTCGTCAAATTTCATTTGCCTATCTCAACCTATTTCAGAGCAGAAACTTAAACAACCCGTATCTCGGAAAAGGAAGCATTTGCGAACATACTTTATGTAGCAACCTATCATTTATTTTTTCATGCAGAATCATTTCTTAAAATTAGTTGTACTTATTTACTAACACCCTATATATTATACAAATATAAAATATATCATACAAATGGACTAAAAACCGACACATTTGAACCTCTCAAATTCACAAATTCATTTCTGAGACTGGGGCAATGAGAAATTTTGATCAGCATGAACAAAGCTACCTCTGGAAAGTTTCCGCCAATTTAACTGAAACCGCTCTTACATAAGAAAAGTGCCGGAGTCGTTTTGACAAATTTTGAAAATAATCGATAACAATAAGATTTTTATTTATATACTGAATGCGAATTACGACGAAAACTAACAAGAAATTTACGAAATTATCCACGAATTTACTCAATCTCTAACATTATCAATAATTTTGGAGTAAATCAGTGTAGGTCAGTTCCCAATCTTCGATCCAAAATTAAACATATATCTTATTATAAGAGTCCCAGGTTCATTACCGATTCAAAGTCACTATGGTAGTGTAAATTAGTAGATCATGAATTTCTTTCCTGGTGACATATTTTTATTTACAATTATCACTTATAATTTTTTGGCCAGCACCTCAAAAACATGTGATGGGAATTTAATGTGTAAATTGCTTCACAAATATTTGTATAAAAAGCCAATTTTTTTCTAATTATTTTATAAACGGTGTACAAATTTGAAACTAATTTTATTTCAAGTAATACTTAGGATATTACGCAAAGCCAGTGCTTGTACATACAAGGTGATCCATACATAATAGTCATTATATTATTTTTTATTTAGTGGCGTACAGAAAATGAATTAGTTAGGTCAGTTCTGATAGTATAAGCAAATTCTTGTTTATTTTCATAAGCTAAATTTAATAATTGGTTGGTTTGAAGTCAAGGCTACGTGGGAATCAAGGAAACTACCTGTTCAAGTAGTTTTCCACTTCGTTTCAGTAGCTTTTACTACGGGACAAAACTTAATGGTGCCTGTGCTGTATGAATATGTTTATTCTTAGAATTATTGTATCTAACAGCCATGATACACTCAAAACTTTGAAGTCTACAACTTGCCAGTCTAAAGAAATTGCTGGTAACAAAAAAATGAGAAGCATTCAAATATGACCTAAAAATTAATCAAAACAGGCAAACAATTAATAAATTCATCTGCAGCTACATCAATATACAATTATTTTATGAAGCGTCTCCCTGTATAATTCTCCCAATAAAACCATTAAAAATCATTTATAATAATATCAAGGATATTATGATAGCTCTGTTCTTTTGTTAGGTTAATGTTTTCAATGTAACTGATCTCTATATCTACAGTAAATTTGAAAATTATCGATAGCACAAGTTTTATAGCAAAGGTCTAAATACAGGGTTAATCAATGCAGAAAACACGTAATAATTAATACCTTCTTATCTGAAGGGATCAATTATTACGTGGTATTCTAAACACTTTAACTCCATGTTCTTTTGTTATTTTATCTACACCATATTTCTTAAATTTTGATGAATATTGTTTGAATAGCTGTAATAACTCTTTTTTGAGTAAACCTTCTGCTGGCACTACTATGTCTTTGGTTATTAGCCTATCTAGTTCTTGCTTTCTCTTCATTTAGGGTTAAGTAACGGTTCCTTTAATCTTGAATGGTAACTGGTATTCTCCATGACTAGTACGGAATTGGTCGGTAATAAATATATTATTTGAGCAAGCCTCCATCAACAAATCCTTTATCTCCTCCGATATGAGTGATAATTAAATTAAACGGCGACCGTTACCATTGGGAAATTTTAAGCCCGTAGACAAACCTTCTATAAATGCCTGTTGAGCATTTGTAACCAGTTTATCTTGCCTAACTTTTTTTTTACAAAATGCCCTTCATTTATCTATGTTTTATCTAAATAAAAAATATGTTTGCCTTCTCTCCCCAATTTTTGAACTTGGTTTAAATATATCTAACAAATAATTCCGTCTTTCTCTATGAGCGTAGGTTTTCTATTGTTATTCTCATAACCTAATCCTAATTTACGTAAAGTTTTCCAGAATTTATCTCTTTTAATGTTTGGCAAAGATTTGTTCGATTCGTTCATTCAACTTATAATCTAAGTCCATCGACATATTGCTAGATAAGTTAACAATTTTAAGTATGATTTAATCCATTCAAACCCAACCACTGTTTGGTTTTGAGGTTATTTTGCAAGTACTACAAAGTTCACTGAAGATTGACTGAAGACTGATTAGTCGGAAAACATTTTGAGCTTAATCCTTTTGGATTTTTTAAATTTAATTTTAATTAAATATACCAATTACAATAGAAGTGTTTTACTTCGATGTCCGAGTTTTTTTTTAAAGAAGAGTACTTATATAAGAATATGAGTATATTTAGAAAATATGTTCAGTACTTACTTTTCGACAAGGATCAGTTAACACCATCGTTGGTAATAATGACACAGAAGGTGTGTTCTGTTGGTTATACGAGCTGAAGGGAGATGGGTTGGCGACAGAAATATTCTGCCAGTTAAAATCAGCTGCTGGCAAACTTTGAGCTTTCATTTGGTTCTCTAATTCCTAAAAAAGAACGACGGAAATCAAGAAAACGCCTATTTCAGAGTAGGTTTAGGCAATCAAGACATTGTTTCTAAAAGTACTTAATTCAAATGTATGATCCTACAACTGGTTATGGTGGTTGATGAGGAGGAAAATAGCTAAATAATAAGAGGATCCAAATGTAGGAACAAATAAAGGTATTACAGTATACCTTTATTTTGAAAAAAAAAAACACTCTCTTAAGAATCAACACGTTCTTAAAAAAAATTCCGTCGTAAAAGACGTATCGGTGAAATGAAAGAAAAAATTTAATGATTGGTTTTATATTTCTTAGTGACAAAAATCTGCTTAATCTATTAAAAAAAATGGTACTTGTAACTTACAGTATGATGAAATATGCCAATGATATGAAGCATATCTTCATGATATTAGTAAAGGCATCCAAAAACTATAATAAATTAATAAGGATAAAATGAAATTAGCGTGAATAAATATTCGTACCTGCACCCTCAGTTGGAGTTTCCTCTTCATAGATTCCATTTTTTTAAGTTGATCTTCTAGTTGCAATACATGGGTTAATCTTTCGTTCAGCCTTTGGTTTTCGTTTTTTAAACATTTAATATATTCCACGGACGATTTTAAAATTGTGCCCTTGTTCGGGCGGACGTCTCTAACAATTTCGTAAAATTGGTCGGTATTTTTGGGCAGCAACATTCCTAATTCTTGAATTCTATCGTTAATATTAAACCTTCTCCTACGTTCAACTGGAATATAAATAAACGACATTAATTAAGTAAATAAAGGACTATAAGTCATTAATAAAAAGAACCGCCTAAAAGATAACACCATGGCAATATGAAACTGGAGGAAACTACAAGACATCCTCTTCTTGCAGTTGTAAATTTCTTCTGAAGTTGGTATGTAGTTTCCTCCTCGTCAGGACCGATGTTAATAAATATCCAAAATTATTTAAGGATCGTTTTTTTAAGGCGGTGATTCGTCATCACCATTGTTTCTTCTGGCTTCATTCGAATTCTTGCTTCCTCGTTACTTCTCCTTTCTATTCTTGATATTATTGGGCTCCAGCGTTCTTGCGATCTGCAGTAAAAGTTCTGTTATGTTTACACAATCCAACAATTCTTGAATGTCTTAGATACTATGTGTTTAGTACATTAATTCCTCTGTAATTTTCCGGGTCCGATTTGTACCCCTATTTAAAGAGAAATATTAGGATGCTTGATCTCAATTCTTGAGGAATTCTGTTTTGTTTTATTATCGTTTAGATTAGGTTTAGTAGAAGTACCAGAGATCTTGCGCACAAAAATTAGTGAAGAAAGATCTATCCATGTGAATTTGCAAAATATAATGGCAGGAACATATTTAAAAAGAAAATCGAAGAATTGAAACTAAAATATAAGAAAATTAAGAATAAGAAAATCCACCCAATCTCATATGTTCGGGATTTGAATTTTCGTCCACTGTGACATCCTCCGTGTTGTTCCATTCTTCTTGCCATCTTTCAATTGACCTTTCCCTTTCCTGTCTTCTCTCGGCCACAGTAAAGTTTCATATGCCGTAACCCCGTCATATGCCAGATTCCATAGCATCGGGCCCAAGACAGATCCCTGGGGTACCCCGGCCGTCACGTCCACAATCGAGCCCTTTTCTACCATCATCCTTCTCTCGGACAGATACTCCGCCACCACATTCATCAGGTAGCTAGGACATTCTCTCTCCTCCATTGCTTTCATTACCTCGTTCCATTGCAGCGTATTGAAGCATTCTTAACATCCAAGAACAGCAGGACCGCCCAGCGATGTTCATCTCCTGTGTTGCGCAATGCTTTGAGTACACTCTTGATTGCATCAATCGTGCTTTTTCCTTTACAAAAACCAAATTACCTCTGAGATAAACCACCTTGATTGAGATTGAGAGGTCAATCATGCCGTCTATGAGTACTCGCAGCATCCTTTCATACAGCTTACTGATGCATGGAAGAAGACATATGGGGCGATATTTTTCCCAACTTTGGGAAGCAGTATTAACCTCGATGTCCTCCAAGGCTCAGGGAAGGAAAAAAAAGAGTGACTGTGAGTCCTTCTTCTTGCTTGGCCTCACAACTCGCGGTGAGTCTTAAATCGCGGTGATCCATTATTGATCTCCATCTTCTACAATCTTGTGCTTCCATTTCCCATCATTATACCCCAATCGTAGACAAATCTGCTTCGATATAATCGTTATATCTTTTCCTGGACGGTCTACTGATATATATTATCATCTAGTCTCTCAGAATATACTTTTTAATTTTTAATAATAATTTTAGTCCGAACTGTAGGTAGTGGAGCACAGTAGTTCAACCAAAATCGGGAGCTCCATGTTAGCGTGACCTGAGTGAAGTGACGAGAAGGCACTGCGTAAGGCAGTGTTGCCAGATTTCCCCCAGCACGTCGAATTCTTTCTAAGTGTCATCGGTAACCTCTTTTTACGAATGACCCTCATATGTTGAAAACTACAGCAGAAAAATTTAACTTTGACCCACAGATAGATTACGAAAAACGTCTATAAGCAGCTCTACAAACTAGATTAAAATGTTTGGACCCCTATGAAGAACATGTACCTTATTTATTGACAAAAAAGAGACACGCGGTAAAATAAAGTATATTTACTTACTCCTATTATGATTGTCCTTCTTCTGGCGATCTTTGGCAAGAGCATGCAGTTCAGCATCACTTATATTATATGGTTCATTTTTGACATTGAGATCACTGCCTGTAAAGTTATCTGTTTTGAAACCATCTGACGCAAGGGAGCTCGATTCCAGCGATAACAAATCATCTATTAGATCCTCAGCCTGTAAAAAAACAAAACCAAATTAGTTCGCAATTAAAAAATAGAGGAGTTCGTTGTCTAAACTCTAGGCCCAAAGCTACATCTTTTAACTAGGTACAATACAAATCTTCGTTACGCAGATTGGCAATCATCAGGTCCACTATAACTTTCGAACCAGTTATCTAAAGAGTTTTTTTGAGACAGTCACCTTCTTCTACATTCTTATAAAGTTAGCAAGTCATTTTTCAATTCTGTCTTTTGTTGTTATTTTCTGTTAATAATACATATACTTTTATACTTTTCGTTAGTTCATTGTTAATATTAATTTTCATTAACTTGGTTTTATTTCGGACTAAGGTTCTTTATCAATTATTATACCAACGCCGGATCTGCAACTCCCGAAGGTCATCCAATGACGATTTTTCAGATTCATTCAGATAAGACCTTTCTTCGGATCCATTGTTGTTTATATATATATATATATATATATATATATATATATATATATATATATATATACTCGTATTAAAAATATATCTATTTTAGAAGAACTTTATTCACATACATTTGTTTGTGGCGTCTCATCATTTATACAGCTTATCCGATTGTTATTTGAGAGGTTATTATAAAAAACATGGAATTGAACAGGATGTAATAATTTTAAACAAGTAAATTACACAAAACAATGCGTAATGAATTTTTCTTGGGACTATTGTCATTATAATATTTGATTAATTTGATATGGGGTGTCGTAAAAATTACAATAAAATTAATTTTGATAAAAAATTAATGTTGCAGTCCGGAGAATGCTGACATAGTTAAAACTTTTATAGAGAGTCCTGAAAAACAAATTTTTTGTTAACAAAATTATTTGGTTTCACTGAATTTCCAAATACAGTTAAAATAGTTATCCTTACGAGACTAATTATTTTTATTTGTTATTTAATTTCATTTTTCATTTTCTTCACTTTTTTATTATATATTTTCCCACTAAGTGAGCTGCTACAAACAGAGAGAGGGAGAGAGAGAGGGAGAGAGGGAGAGAGTGGGAGAGAGAGAGAGAGAGAGGGGGAGAGAGAGAGAAAGAAAGAGAGAGATAGAGAGGGGGAAGAAGATGACCTACAATTCCGAATTCAATAGGATTCTATTAAGAATCTAAGAAGCAATAATTCTCAAAATGAAGGTATACCCGGTCAAGTAAATGGTAAAATGTATACCTATTCGGCGAACATGTGCTAATAGGGCTAAAGTACTGCTGAAAACAAGCAGGAATCTTGTTTAAGGATTCTTACTGGACATGCACCAGGAACAACTGCACATAATGTGACTGTTTACAACAATCAACCATATCTCGCATGACATTGCAGGTAGCAAACACTTTTTGAAGACTATTAAGTGACTCCAAAAAATATAGTATCCATCCTCTACACATGTATAACCTGGTACAGAGTACAGAGCTCCACAATTACCGAATGAAAGATGTACTAGCCAACTAGCCCTTCTAGAACTAGAGTTATTATCACCGAGATGCTCCAAATGTAGGCAACTTACACTGCATTATTAACCGATTTGTTGTTGAAGCCAAGTTAAAATTTTTATTCATCGCTTCAAAAATGCAGATTTGCCTGGATGACAGTGATATGGAAAATTTAATACTATATATTATTGGACGTACCAATATAACTTCAAACAATGTGGCGGCCAAAAATAATTTCGATCAAGTATTGATATAAAAAATTGACGATATCATGTCCTACTTCGCACATTATTAGATAAACTATTTATTACTGCAGAAGATATAAGTGGATTATAAATTCATGTCATTCTAAAAACCAAATATTTTATGAAGATATGTTTGAGATATTTCAACCAATAATTTGAACTATTTATTACACCTTTTGCGTCAAATATATAGATAATAATTGTGTAATAAACATGTAATTTTTAGAATAACAATATCATAAACTAAGATTTATTAGTATTTGAGACAACGAGACAGCCTTGGTTTAATATGTCATTTATAGTAAATTTAACGAAATTTCCATAAAATATGGAATTAACTACCCACATATTTGTTGGTTCTTCTCTCTAGATCAAAACTTTGGGGGAAGAATAGTTTGGATGAGGATACTAGGGAAATTAGTAAGGTAAACTAGAAAAAGTTGTCAGTAGTAGAAGTGAATGGTTAAGAAGCGTTGAAAGGGTTGGAAAGGAAAAATAATAGACAACTATGTACAATTTCTAGAATTAAGAGAAAAACAGGAGAAGAGTTTAAGTACACAAGACATCCCTAGCTATATCGAAGAAAAAACTAATATGATGCTGACATAACATAACGTAAGGTAACTATTGAAAGTATATAGGAAAAAGTTTAAAGAAAGATGCAGAACATGCCTAAAAAAAATAGATATCTCTTGTGTGGAAATACCGAGAAGAACTCGATAAAAAGGCGAATCATAACAGTGGTACACTGGTATGGATATCAAGTTATCGGGGAATGCATCTCAAAATTAAAACAATTTGATCTTGAACGAAAGCGTCCAAAGCATCAGCCTCGATTGCCACATTTCTACATATTTGCTTATTAATGATATAACATTGAATCCAGCAGTTCGTTCTGAATAGTTTTTGAAGTTCCCAGGAAGGTTGTATTATTTTCGGTTAAATATATTTGCAATATAAAAGAAGCTAAACTGAGACCCGAGACTCTAGAACAGATAGAGAAAAGAAGAAGGACGAACAGAGATAACTCCGACTATAAAGCGCTCAACAGAAGCGTTAAGAAAAATATTAGAAAAGACCTCAGAGCTTATAGAACAAACCAGATTCTTGAAACCATAGAGAACAATAAGAACATGAAAGTACTACAAATATGTAAATCCACTGGCAGGAATAAAATAATACAGATAAAAGACGACCATGGAACATTGTGCTCGCATAAGGAACATTTCTTTAGAGAAATCCGAAAATTTTATGATAAGCTGTGTACTTCTTCTATTCCGAACACCGGTATACCAACAAAACATATCTTAAATGTAGGCTCAGAGGATCTCCCTAAAATAATAACATCAGAAATTAGACCTTGCCAACAAAAGAAAAATGGGAAAACACCAGGAGAAGATAAAATTGCTTCAGATATGCTTAAAATTGGAGGCATTGCATTAGAAGAGGCAATGGGAGCATTACTGAATAAATGCTTATTGGAAGTACCAAATACCAAAAGCATAGAAAAATGCGGTCTACTCTATAAAAAAGGGGACGCCGCAAATATAGACAACTACCGACCAATAAGCTTATTGTCACATCTTTAAAAACTATTAACCCAAATAATAACAAATAGACTGACAGCTAAGTTAAATGCATACCAACCAGTGGAGCAAGCAGGCTTTCGTAAGGGTTTTAGCACTATCGATCGCTTGCAAACAATCCGGACAGTTATTGAAAAAACAATAGAGTACAACATACTACTACATCTGGCATTTGTCGATTATCACAAAGCATTTGACAGTATCAAGAAATGAGCTTTCTTAACAGCATTGGACGACGCCAGAGTAGATTCAAGATATACTGCTCTCCTTAAGAATATATACAATGATGCTACTTTTCACGTAAAAATAGATGATGATCTGGAAACTATGAAAATAGACCTTGGCAAAAGTGTGAGACAGGGCAACACCATCTCACCCAAATTATATAATTTGGCATTAGAAAATGTCTTCAAAGAACTAAATTTGGCCGAAAAGGGATTAAAAATACGAAAAGGAAAATCAAACCCTAGAAATTAAAAGAAGGACACAATTGTCATGGGCTGCTTTTGGTAAGGTGAGTTTCATTTTAAAAGACAAAAAAATCCCAATACACTTAAAACGAAAAACCTATGACACTTGTATACTACCAGTTACAACTTATGGATTGGAAACTATGGCAATAACAAGAAAAATGGCAGCAACAATTAAGAGTAACTAAACGGGCCATAGAGAGGGCCATGTTAAATATAAGTATCAAAGACAAAATTCCTAATACCGAAATACGTTGAAGAACTAAAGAAACCGACATCATGGGAAAAATAGCGAAAATAGCGACATTGAGATGGCAATGGGTAGCATATGTAGCAGATACCAACAGATGGTCTCATAAAGTGACATTCTGGAGACCTCGAGAAACAAAAAGATGCGTGGGAAGACCCAAAAAGAGATCATAGATGATATAACAGCTGGAAAGCAGTGAATGAGAATTGCAAAAGATAGGGAAGCGTGGAAGCAATTGGAAGAGGCCTATGTCCAACAATGGATAAATGAAGGCTGAAGAAGAAGAAGAATATTTGCAATATAGTATCAATTTCTCCTATTAAGTTGATAAGTCCCTGAAATACTCCAGGATTCGTAGGTGTCAAACTTTCACCGTGACCTCTTCCTTTAAACCGACCTTGGTACGAATTATAAATAAACGGAAGATATACAATAAGACAATTAGCTGAAGTACGACCGTATAGAAGCCTGAACCTAAACGAAAACGATATGTAAACGAATAGAAATGTGGTACATGTGATGAACAATGAGAAGTCCCTTGTAATTCATCTAATTTTGCAAAGCAAGACATAGCTAGCAACAAATTCATGTAGATATATTCATCACCCATAGATGATAGGTACCAACAATTTTATAATAATCTATTTCCCTACCCTCGTATACTTACGATTTATAGTAAGCGTATTGGTAGTACTAAGTAAAATATTGATAGTAAGCGTAATAACAAACAAAAATAGCGAAAATTGTAGGTTATTAACTAAATTTTCAGAAATTGGGACAAATGTTTGTCTATTGACCCTGTAGCGTATTTCATAATAATAACGGACACTTCCTGTAATATTTAAGTTCATTTCTGTCATTGTCTGTGTCAATAACGAGCGAGTAAGCGTGATAACCTCGGTGGTAGAAAATATTACACGGTTCTAGGTTCTAGTAACTCCGTAGCATAGTTATTCGATCAACAATAAATTTTCAATACTAGTGATATTACACA